CTCTGCGCTTATGTACTCTGACATCTACGTCAATTGGCAACTATTCCTTCAGTTCTATGAACCGGTCTCCCTGGTGCACATTCACATAATAACTTAGGACTGTTTTATCCTCGAGGTAAACCTAGTATTCTCACTTTATACCGTATCTAGCCTATGCTTCAGTCTGATACGCACAGGCCATGGCCTATCATTTGCGGCTTAGTTTGCCTATTCTGGAAGTGTATATAGCACCAGGTCAAGGTCCTTGCCTGTGGTTTTTCCCCTAGCTTAAACTTTTTTCTGCTTCCTTTTTACGATTTAACCCCAGTTTGGCTAAACTCTGCTATCCAAATCTACTTCTGCCCTTGTAGAGTTCACTTAAACCCCAGAATTTACTTCACAGTATATCTCTAGTACTTTAGTAACCTAGCTCCCTTTACCCAGACTTCCAATTCAGATAGCCCGATATGTAATCACTTATTTTCTTCCAATTTGATGGTAGCTTAGTTAGTATTAGCGATTTCACTTATTTGTCAATAGCAGGGACCCCAACCCTGGTTCTCAACTTCCAAGCTAGATAGCCTGGTAACCGTATATTTTTTCTCTGCGTCTAGGCAGGTACCCCCAAAAGGCGGCTAGTAGGTCTCCCACCATCGCCACAATTTGCCTGTAATTGCAGGGGCTCTCTAGCTAGATTCCTGGTTCTTTTTCCTATTTGCAGCAGCCTGGTTGGTGTGGGCGCTTCCCAAACATCCTGTATTTCATCCAGTTCAGTTCATATAGGTTCTGTTTCCTGGGTCTAACCTTTATAGTAGCTTCGTTGAAGATCTGTGCTATCTCTCTACTCAGAACTTGCCAAGTGGGCTTTCGTATTTGCAGTTCTCCAGATTTACACAGCCTATAGGCTTATCTTGTATTTGCACTGCCCTATTATTGGTTTGTATTCTTTCATATAACCTTATATTACACAAATACCCCAGACTTCCCAGTCTTGCTAGTGTGACCGTAGTTATAGGTATTCTATTCCAACTAATTGTCAAATACAGTTAGCCATAACACAAGCAAAATTTTCGAAATTTTGTCACTAGTGAGATTCGAACTCTTGACCTGCCACTTGGGAGATGACAACTTGACCACTTCGCTATGTTGCCACACCCCTTCAAATCTAGATTTTTAAATCAAAGCAAATTTAAATAAGCCTAATATTTGATTTGATTTGATTTTGAAAAACTTTAAACAACAGTTCATATTAAGAAAATTTCAAGCTATTTGTTAACTTCAGGTCTTTAGTCTTTAACTTGCTTTCAAAGACTGGTTGGCAGTGTTGTTATGTGAATACAGACTGGATACAGACCAGACATGAACTAGATATTTGTATCTGTATCCAAAGCAAGACATGAGCACAAATATTATCTAATAATCAACCAATCAAATTCAATAATCTTCCAGATATAAACTTATAGCTATATGTATAAAAAATTATAGAAGTTTATTGGTATAATTAATTGTGTAATTTTTTCAATTATCGTAATGACATGATTATATAAGTTTTTTGATTTGTAATTGCTAGAGCATATTTAAAGAAGATAGGTTTTTTTCAAATAAAATAATTTCTGTTTTTTTTGCTAACCTGACTTTGTTTAGTTTTTTTTGTTTCATTCTCTCTTACCCTTATAGAGTGATTTAATAAATATTTGTAGCATAATATTTAGAATCTTTGTGTATTTTATAAATAGCTTATTGAAATAACAACTACATGAAGTTTATTATTGTAAGTATATTACACTTGAGTAGGTATCATTGTATGATAAAACATTATGAGAAAATAGCCTATTGTTTAGTGAATATCAAAAGGGTTTGACTTGTCAGACAAAAAGTCAAATCTTGAGTTTTTTGGTAGGTGGCCTATTAGGACAATAGTTACAAAGATTTATTGTTGTTTATTATTGTGTATTTATATTGAGTTTCCTGTTAGATAATAGTCAAATTTAAGTTTTTGGTATATAGTCACAAAATCATATATTTGGATATATTATACTTGAGTAGGTATTGTTAGTAATTAGAGTGTAACAAGTAAAAAAAGAGTGAAAACTTCAAAATACAATAGTTAAGATCCTAATTATAGCTAGATAAACTTATAGTATATTTTATCAATACTTTCGAATTCTGTATTATGATAAAACTATTTATACAAAAAAGCAGAAACAGAATACCAAAAACTTTATTTTATTGTAATTTATTGTAATTTATTGCTTTTACAATCTTCTTGATAAAGAACAAAATATGTATTATACAGTAGTGACTAAACTTGTCAACTCATGACTCGAATAATTCGAGTTTGAATCATAAATTTTTTAACTTGCGAATTAATTGTTAATGTATAATAAAGTTTAAAATAGTATTAATAAATTTTGTAAACTATATAAATAATATCATAATTTTAATAAAATGAATTATATTTGCTTTGTATAACTTAGGGCAGTATCATTTATCACCTAATTTTTTTTATTAAAAGCTTACCCCCTCCCCCTCTTACTATATATCTTAATCAGGTCTTTATATATAATTTTAAATTTTTACCTCCCTCCCCTTAAAAAATCACCTAATTTTTGTCACATCCCTTACTACTTGAAGTAATTTGTTTTTGTAACTCACAACAACAAAGCAAAAATCTACAAAAGAAAAATATTAGCTTAACAAATAAAGCAAAAACAACAAAAGAAATAAAAATAAAAAATAAACAAGAAAAAAAACTAGAAACTGGTATACTTATATCAGTACTATTTTCTCTTAGGCTCAGATTTCTATTACTAACTTTATTTATATTTCTGGTAATCTACAAGAAAAAAATGGTTGTTAAGAAAGAAAAAAGAAACAAGAAAACAAGAAAACACAAAAACAAGAAAGTAGAAACTGGTATACTTATCTTATTATATTAGTATTGTTTTTTCTAGGACTCAGATCTCTATTACCAATACTATTTATATTTCCCAGTGACCTACAAAAGATAGTAGTTAGAAAAATGAAAAAAATCAGAAAATACGAAAACAAAAAATAGAAACTGATATACTTATCTTATATCTAATTATTTATATACTAACTACTAATAATTTGTCTAATATTAATATTTTGCGAGGCAATAGTAAAGTAAATACATCTGCACTATTGGCGCAGCTATCTTTACTTGCCTTGCAAAATATACTGATGATAAAGATACAGAATTAGAATTTAACAAAAATAATTTTATTGTAATAATAAATATATAACAATATAAAATACAAAATAAAAAAATAATAAACTAATATTTACAAAAAAATTATATTAAACGATAATGTTTAAAATTTCTATCTATAAAAACATTAATTTTTTTACATTAAACCACTCTGAATTTTTATCTGTAATAATCTAACCATGTTCAGTATCAGTCTTATTTTCAAAATCAAATACTCTAATTTTATTATTTCTAATAGCTTTAACTTTAAATTCAGTTAAAATTTCTTGTTTTTGTTCTGAATTTTGAAGAATGAGAGTAATTACATCTTTTAAAATTGGGTCTTCTTTTAATATTTCAGCAATTTTTGTATGATACTCTGGTTTGAAAAATTTTAAATATTTAAAACCTGGAGTATTAGATGATGCTATCTTAAAAATAATATTATCAAATTTGTTATCTTTAAGAGATTTGAAAAAAAGTTTCTTGATATTTTTAATTAAAGAAAGCATCTAAATTTGTTAATAATAATCAGAATAAAATAAAAATAATAAGTTTGTTATCATAATATTAACTACAAATCTAATACTCAATTTTCACGAAATATAGAATATCAGATTCAATACTTAGCGATTTCTTAGTTGCTATTCATGGATCTGCAGCTCCTAATACCAACTAAGACTCACTCTAAACTGCATAACTTAACAATCTGATATAATACTAAACAAATTTTAGTAAAAATATTATCTTAGTATATATAATTTTGAGGATAGTTTTTAATTAAATATATCTAAAAAAAGATATTAAATATAATGAATATTAAATATCTTGTTATAAAAATATAAAAAAATTGTTTCATATATATAACATTAAAAAAAAATACAAATAAATCCAACTCTTCGATATAAAATATTAATGAAAAACTGAATACAATCAAGATAATGATGATTGAATAAATAAAAAAATGCATTTTTAAAAAATGTTTTTGAGATGAATTTAAAGAATTTTTAAAAGAAATTTAGAATTTCGAAGGGTTGAATAATAGAAAAACATAATTCTTTTATTTATGATAATAACAAAAATAAATAATTTTTATTGGTTCTTAAAAAATTTATTCTAATAATAAACTTAAGATAATTAGTGTGATGCAGCTTTTAGCAAGGTCAAATAAAAAATATTATTAATTGTTTAGCAGCATTTTGATTCGTAGAATACTTTTGAATACTTGAGTATAGATTTTTATATTAGGCAGAATACCTCAAATCTATTATCATCGAACCAATCAAATAAAAAATATAAATTATAGTATAAATTTTAAAATAAACAATATATCAGTTGATTATATTATAAAATTAAAATAACAATATAATTAATGATCAACAAATATAAATATATTATAAAATTACAGTAAAATAACAATATAATTAACAATCGACAAATATAATATAATTAACAGATTAACAAATATAAATGTAATATAATTTATATATATAAGTTGCATCAAAAAGAACTGGTTTCTGAAAAACTGGAGAAAAAGTGCCAATTGGTATAGACCTCGGAGTATATAGGCGCAAAGGGTTTAAAATGGATAACTCCCTAGTTAAGTTGCAGGTACAGCAAATAGTGTAGACTCTAGAAATAGGCAGACTACTTAAATAGGTGTCCAAAAGGTCAGGAATAGCTAAATATACTCTCCAAATATATATAAAATCAATAAAGCATAATATGACCAAGAGATCACCTTAATACTAAAAAAAAAAAAAAAAAAGTAATATAATTAATGATTAACAAATATAAATATAGGGATCTACTATTTCTACCATGAAAAATTGCTATTTCCACCATGGTTACACAAGTTTTTTTATTTTTAGTTATTGAAGATATTTG